CCAGATAAATATCTTAACAACAAAAATTTCATCAGAATCGAATAATACGTCGCAACTATTTTACATTGATAGTTGACAATCAATATTTTAATGGCTAAGTTCATAGAACATCTACATCATGCAAATATGGCTATATTGGCAGAGTAACAAAGAAAATTAGTTAATCAAAATTATTCAAAAGGTAAAACACGATATTGCAGTATTGATGCTGCTGCTCATTATAGCTATGATTGAGCCTAAAATGTTCATGTGCCCCATTCTGACTAGCAAGTAAGCAAAATTTATTATCTTAGTCCACATAAAGTTCATTTATTTGGTATTCAAGATGAAGCAGTAAGGGAACAAATCAATTATATTCTTGATGAAGATGAAATTATAGGAAAAGGCCCTAATGGTACACTTAACATGATCTTTGATGGAATTAAAAAATTGAATTTAGCACCTGGAAAGAAATTATCATACAAAAACAAGAACATAAAAAGTAAACCATTTTTTTTATATTAATATTTTTAAAAGGTTAATTCAAAGCTAAATCCATTTATGCGATGATTGCTGCACAATCCAAACATCCTCCTTGTCATCAATATCATCTTCTATTTCTTCTTTTTTAACTACATCCATACCTCTTTAATAATAGAAAGATGTGAAAGAATTCTTAAAAACAATTAACACCTCCAAGTTCTGACAAAGATGAAGAAATGTAATAAATATTTATTTTGCTGATTATTTTCTATATATAAAAAAAATTTTTGAGATTAAAAATTGCAACTTGTATATATTATATTTAATACATTTCTTTATGCAATATTATTTCTATGTAATAATATTTATCATCTACATAATTAAGTGATTGGTTGATTGTTTGTTATTTTTATATTTTTGACGCTTGCGATATAATTCTCCAACCCATGATTTTACAAGCGAATGATTAAATTTTCCTTTTGTTGACTCAAAAAACTCTTCTAAATCTTTATTTTGAGCTATTAATTAATTAATAAAGAGAAAAAAAATCACACAATTACTACCACCATCACCAGCATAATAAATAATAAAACCAAATAAATAATTAATAAGTCAGCTACATTACATTGTTCATATTCAAATGCTTGGAGTATCAATTCAAATTTATCCAAATCTTTAACAAATTTTGCTTCATTGCTAATTCCATCTTCATATTCTTGCCATAAATCAAATATTTCTTTAGATTGTTGAGAGTCATTAAGTAATTCTTTGCACAGATGTTTCATTGCCTCCTATAAACACAGTACGTATATATAATATATGAATAATTTATTATATTATTATTAATTGAAAAAAAAATTGCGCTCAATTATTACCGATTCTCTACGATTTTTTTCTGATTTACTTATGCCTTGAAATGGTGTTATGTCTCCCTATATATACATGTATGCAAATTAATAAATATATATATACAATATTATTTCCCAATGTTAGTGACGATAATATAAAAGAAAAAAGTAAACTAACCACTATACATTCAGCTAAATCATGTACAACTGCCATCTTTACACATCTATTTTAATCAAATTGCCAATTGTTTCGGAACCATATGTAAGTATATGTGTGAGCGAACGATCAAATCATTAAACGAGCAAATGAATTAATTAAAAATGAAAATTTGATTTATAAACTACTTGTTCCTATCCAAGGTTGGATCATCAAGCAATAACGCCAGTATTGACATACGGTGCATGTGATCTGAAATAGATTCAGGATCTTTGATTCCATTATCCACCCATCCTGTACGTTTTGTTCTCTATTATCAAATTTATAATTTGAAAAAGTTTATATATACACTCGCTTCGTTTGAATGACTAATTGATTGTTTATTACCTTTAATTGTTCACAAAAGTGAAGAAAATCTAAAATTTTAAAAGCACTAGAAACATTATTATCGGTATTATTATCGCTGCCATTGCTTTTGTCTTTGTTTCTATAGTTGCTGTTGCTGTCGTCGCTGTTGTTGTTATCATTGGTATCATTAATGTTACTTTTATCCATTATAAATTAAATTAAATTTTTTTTGATCAGTCAGTTTCTTAGCACTGATCATTTTGATTAGCCTTTTTGTCGATCAATTCACTAGCCTGAAATTGTTTAGATTTTAAAATATGTAAATAGTGCTAATGCTATTAAATAAACTCATTAAAACTTCAACTTATTCATACATTCTCATAAACCATAAATCATTCAATAACCATTGTTGCTTTTAATCAACAATAATTTAATTAAAAAAAAATGCATACTTTCGACAGTGAACTTTTTGCTATTTTTAATTGAGTTCGCTCTTGGTTTTCTGCTGCACTATAAAACCAACTCTATAATATAAATAATATAGATAAAAAAATTGATGAAACGAACGGCCAGGAAAAATCAAAACCAAACAAACTTACTGATGATAAAAAATGCTTAGAAAAAATCGAAAATTTATGGAAGGATTCCAAGCAAATATTTGATAAAAAGACTGAGTTGAGCTCAGATTTTCATTTAGTAAAATGGCCATTAGAATTCATAAGTTGCTTGGGGAGAGAAAAGGAGGACCTACTTTCAAATAAAAAATTCTTATCAACGAAAAATGAATCCTAGGAAGAAAACAGTAGAAGAAATCCAGGAACGAGTTGACAAGGAAAAGAAGAGAGATGTGAGAAGATAGAAGATGAAGAAAGAAAAATTAGTGATATTGATAAAAGATTTAGATTTGCACCAGAGTAACCTAAACTCATCGATGGCTTTGGGTTTGAGTATTTTCCTCCATGCTCCGGTGGTTTTTATCTTACAATTTTTTTAATATTTATACGTATTTTTCTTAGTTTCTTGAATGTGAATGCCTTTGTCCCACTATTGTATCATGATAATTATGCAATGCATTTGAACGCAGAAGTGAAACTTTTAAAGAATTGATTTCGAACAATAATGCGTGTCTACTCAGGTCTCTGGGATTCACAAAATAAATAAATAGGCCTATCTTCCCTTAGATCAGGTTTGACTGGGCTGTTAGGGAGGATTCCAATTGTATAGTTCCTTAAAAACCATGTTGTGCTTTTTTTTCGCGTGTTTCCTATTTTCAATTCCTTCTTCGTATTTCCCGTACGTTTTCAGTGAGAGTTACGTGATGTATTAAATACGAAACACGTACAGGAAAAAACGAATCCCGTATGTTTTCTGTAAATCCCTCCGGGCCATTTCGGCACATGGAATTCAACCTTCTACATTCAGCCACGACGCCCCTGTCCATCTTCAAGCAATCCAAACTCATGTGTATGAATGTGTATGCTATGTGAGCACATTCAAACCATGAAGTTACAAAAAAAATACCGCTGCGCCGAGTACTTCATAGACGTCGAAACATCAAAATTAGCCAATAATAATATTATTTATTCATTGAGCAAAAAATTTATTTAATTTAGAAAATGTTTTTACCCCATGCACGAATTCTATGTGAGATCGTTGTGTCTCAAAGTTTTAATGATTGGAATGCAAAATGTGAGCTATGGATGCGACAACAACGCATAAGGTATGTATTTGGAATCAAAATATATTCAGAAGAGATTACAAGAAACGCAAATGGGCAATTTAGAACTAAAAATTCTACCCCTAACCTTTAAATAATAACGTATAGTATGATGTTATTATCCCCATGTTATTCAAGAACAACAGACACAAGTTTATTCTAATTTTTGCCAACTGACTAGGTTTCTTCCCCATTCTAACTTGCCTTGAAAACAATTTGACTTTTTTAAAAGCTTCTGTAAACAGTGACATGGATGGCTCCGGATGTACCACTTTATTTATTCAATATAAATAACCACAGGAGACATATTCCACTGTGCTATTTAACTCTTGGGTTTTTTCTTTTTAAACAATGATAATCTTAACAAAAAGTATGAACAACAATTATTGGATATTACCATTTTTTATCAAGACAATATCTACTTTCTATAAAAAAGGAAGAAAGTAGTTACTACAATATTTTCTGCGCATAATATTAAACACACTTGAACAGTGAGGTGCATTTGACCAGTTACTTACAATTCAGGCAGCAATTGCAAACGAAAGCAATTTCTTTACCCATTTGACAACAATTACAATCATTTCTTGATGGCAGAAATATCTTTTTTAAAATATTTGGTAAAATTAAATTAATTTTTTTATTTTTTATTGATCTTTTTAACCATTAAAAAAATTGTTGTTGACTTGGACCGCATGTCCCAAGTTTTATAAGTAGAATGGGTATGGCTTCTAAGCTATAAATGTTCTTCACAATGAGATATAGATGGGAATTGAGTTATATATTAAGAATCTTTTACATAATCGAATATATAACGAATACATTTTTTAATTGAATTTAATTTTCATGCAATAAATTATATTTAAATACATTTACAAAGTTTTAAATAAGGTATCTTTTATTTTTTACCATACATTCTATCAATATCACCTTGGTATTTTTGTTGAATATCTCTACGTTTGATTTTTTGTGCTGCTGTCAAAAGTCCCTATTTTTTTTTTTAAAAAAAAAGGCAATGGCATAATAAATATAATGAACAATTAATAACATTAATAACAATAATGATTATGATATTTTCTCTTGAATTACATTTTCGGTGGTCCATTCTTCATGCAACAATGTAATTGCAGATAACAATTCTGCGGGTTTAAAATCTGCCTTCTTTGCCTCAACGAGACAAGCTTGAAGCACTGAATTTGTTATTTCCTTATCTTGACATAGTTTTTCAAAATCTGTTTCAGTTATGTTTTTTTCCATTGCAAGTTTTCTGACTCGTGCTTCAATAGGAAAAATTAAAGCTACAGGACGTGACTGATATGAATCAGCACAAACGCAAATATTGGACACGAATAAGGTTGATTTGTAAACTGATTCCAATCTTTCAAGTGCAATGTATTCACCATGGGCCAATTTCACCAAATTTTTCTTTCTGTCAATGACAGCCAAGCATCCATCTGGCTTCCATTCTCCAATATCTCCTGTTTGTAGCCATCCATCTTCTGTAAACGTTTCTTTGGTCACTTTTTCATTTTTATAATAGCCTGGTGTGACTGCAGGCCCACGAAGCCAAATTTCTCCTCGTGGATTGGGAGTATCTGTAGATTTATAACCAGCATCTGGTACATCAACTAATTTTACTTCTGTACAAGGTACTGGTGTTCCCACGCTGCCATAAGTAAATAGTTCTGGCGTAAGAATTGTACCAGCCATACTAAAAACAATGCAATATAGAATTATTAATCAGGATATTGTTGGTTAACTAATTAATTAATCGACTAGACTTACCCACAAGCTTCAGTCATACCATAACCTTGAAATATTGGACATAAAGTTACGCATAAAAATTCCTGTGTTTCCTTAGAGATGGGTGCACTACCAGACAATGCAAGTCTCAATCTTCCACCAGTTTGTTCTTTTATCTTATCAAATACCAAAGTATCAAAAGGTTTGGAGGGTAAACCTTTTCCCATTAACCAACTTTTAGTCTTGAAAGCTACATCAAAAATCTTTTGTACAGTTGGACTACTCCCATGGACTTTTGAAAGAATACCTTTCCTAATTGATTCCCATACTGCTGGCACACCAGTCATTACACTAGGTTTCAATTCACACATGTCGCCAAGACAATTTCTTACAGATGAATCTGTTAAAGTACGAGGTGATCCATAACCTAAGGTAACACCCCACCAAAGACATACATGTTCCACACCAAACTCAAGAACATGAGCAAGTGGAAGGTATGCAAGGAATGAGTCATCCTCTTGAATTAAATGTCCGAGCATTTTTTCAACGCCACCAACTAAATGTGAGAGAATTAATAGAATAAGAAGGAGGTATCAAATTTTTTAATTTTAAAAAAAAATTTTTTTTTAAAGGAAAGAAACTTACTTGCTGCAACAAGATTAGCATGAGTCAATATGACGCCTTTTGGATTACCGGTAGTTCCAGAAGTATACATAATACAACATATATCTTGTGATTTTGGTGGGTTTGTATTTATTGGATAATCTTTGCCTAATTGTTTAAGTTCTTCCAATGTAAAAATTCCAAGGTTTGAATGAGCATTTGACAATTCTTGCAAGACTGATCCTTTTGCATCACCATCATAAATTATAAATTTAAGAGTTGAACATTTTCCAGCAACCTTTTTAACCATTGGAAGTAAATCTGCGTTAGTAAATATTCCATTAACTTCTGCTTCATTCATTGAATGGAGAAGACCTTCTTCTCCGAGGGTATCATATGCAGTCACAATAGTCATACTCTGTGAGAAACAACCTATGGATTAAGATGATTTCGCAAAATCAATACTTTGTTACATATACATTGTTTGTTTATAATTAGATATTAGCAACGCTTACCATGAGTCACAAGCATCCAATTGGCACTAATATATTTTATATACATAAAGATAACAATAAGAAATTTAGTATCATATATAATATAAATATATATATATATATATATATATATAATAAAATAATTTTTTATTACC